CGTGATTATAAAAATCACATGTGTAGGATTTTAATTGTGCTGGATGACAAGCTTACTATTCTCTCTCTCTCTCTCTCTCTCTCTTTCTCCCAATGACCACAGTTTTCCAAAACTCCTGCAAACGTCACCTAATCTCCCTACGCCGTCAGTGCCACTGTTGTCTCCCAGACAGTTTCCACACCCTTACACTGACGTTATCGAGGCAGAGAGCATTTATTAAACATAAAGGAGCACAACGTTGACCTCCTAACATTTTTATTGGGAGATGATGTATAGAGATATAGAATTTTTTTATGCGAAAAATCATTATCTCTTTAAGTTATTTAAACCTCTATTAATTAAGAATGAGCTGAAAACAACACCAGCTTAGGCTACTTAGAAAGTTGATACGGCTGACTTGGACGCAACTTGCTTCAGTTTGCACAACCAGACAACATGGTGCAACATCAGCATTTTATTTGGAGTCCTGTGTTACAAGCCTATACGTTTAAATGCAATATTCACTCTACTTTCCCTACCCTCTCCACCCACCAAATCCTTAGTGAAATATCAAGCGATGTTTGCTAGTGTAACTTAGCTTTGTATTTTCTAGCGTATCAGCAAGTGTACACAAGGCTTTTCATTGGAAACAGCTGCACCGAGATAGCGGTGAGAACCAAAGCAGTAAAGTTGTGGGTTGGGAAAACCTAAAATAATTTGTAAGAAGAGTATAAACTTCTGTAGAGCTAAGAAAACCGCAGTTTGTTTAATCTTACATTATACATAGTTATTTGAGCAAATGTTGGTTAAAAATATTAATTATAGTACCTTTAACAGATTACAGATCCCTTCTAATTACTATAAATATTTCTTATAGCACATTCTGCAGTCCTTAATTTTCCCATCACTTAGACACACTGGGATTCAGAGCTGCATAGAAAAGGGTCTTCAGGAGTTTTATAACCAAATATCAAAATTTTGGCCTTTGTGCCAAACACGATGTAAGGTGGAAGGTGTGGGTGAGAGGTGTGCTTTTTCATCCATGTATGAATTTTGTCTGCTGTCCTGAGATTACATAACTGTGACGATGTGCAAGCTGTGGTGCCTGCGCTTTATCGAGGAAGCATGAGGTCACTTCAGTTGCTGACACTGAAGTGAGATGTTGGCAGGTAAACAGGAAAGAAAAGCTTTCCTGAGGATGTTCGAGGAGAGAGTCTGCCTGTCTGAGTGAGATGAGAAAAACAACCGCAAGAACACCCGTCCTCATTCAGCACTTCTGAGAACTGAATTACAGCTCGTCTATGAACATAAGGTCTGCAGTGCTGTGGAAGTTTATGGAATGTGGGAAACGGGGCCCTCCGAGCTTGCATCTCATGTTGTAAGATGTCAGGTTACCAAATATGGAAAGTGCAAATGTCTATCCTCTACCTCTGTGTTCTGTCAGATCCTATTAAATAAATATTTTTTTTACAGGGCCTTGCAACACTTATGCATGCGAATGCTGCTAGGGGGATGTGGACACAAACGCATGACTGTATGGACGCACACACAGGGTCAAAATCACACACATAAAAAAAAGGATTTAGCCATTCACTTGCCACAGCTAATGAGTTCAGGCTCTACTCCTGCCGTGCTCACTCACTTGGGTGTTGTAAGGCTTTGGCACTGAGTTTAATTAAGACTTTAATCACTGGGAGAATGGGCCAAATAGCAGATTAATGAGCAGTGAAATTTTGAAAGACAGGACGCAAGAAGGGAAAGTGGGAAAGGAAAAAAAGGAGAGGAAGAAAGACAGATGGGAGTATCAAATCAGCAAGCACATCTGTGACAAAGACACGGGCATTCTCACACTCACACACACTATAAGAAGATTGTTGGCTTATGTATCTGTGTATTTTCTCATTTTTGTGTTCCAGGTTCTGTATGTTTGTTTTGTCTTTTGTGTCTTACAGGTGCGGCAGTTGTGCATTCACCCCCCACCTGTCTTGCCTCTGCATTGTCATACCAAACCACATATAATGTAATTCACATGAAGAAGAGCTGTTCTTTCACCACTGTACATTCAGATCACAATTCTGATTGCAAAATCTGCCAGACAGGACAAGCCACAAGAAAAAAATAAATAAATAAAAAATCAGCAAGGTAAGAAAAAAAAAGACAGGTAGCAGGAGTAAAACTTTTTGTGTTTGATCTCCCAACGCTACATTTGCAGAGCCTCCCTCTGTGGAGATCCCAGCAGGAAACCCTAAACTGGAGCCAATTAGCACAGACTTCTTTTTGCTCCCTCCCTCAGTGTTCGCAGTTTGGTCAAACTGTCAACTTCAGAGTGTTAGCAAAGCCGTCAAAAGCCTGCTGTAGTGGACTTGTATAAAGACTAGGGACTTTTTAATATTAGGGTATGTACGATAATTACCTTTTCCCCCCCAATTCCCTGAAGTTGCTTCTATTCACTGAGTAAATTTAAAAGTAGGTCAGAAGCAGACTGACAACTTTCACAGTCATTACAAGGAACATGATTAACAGAAGTAGCTGCATTGTCTAATCGCATGCCAGTGGTTAAGTATTTGCATTGTCAGTTGCAGGCCAGGCTTCATTCCTTTAAAAATGAATGACATGATACTGGGAGCAGAAAAACTTTCATTCTGTACACAGAGAACATAGGGCGTTCAAAGGACCTCATGCATTCCTAACAATGTGACTCACTGGAAAAGAAGGTGTCTGTGAATCACCTTGTTGTCATTTAAGGCTTTAATTAGTTGGTAAAACCAAAAAAACTAAAGGTGTGTTTGCATATTGAGCACAGTAATGAGTCAAACTAAATATTTCATGAAGGAAAGAAATCAGAAAACTGAAAACTACAGGGCGTCACAATTGCAGCTTTTGGCGCCTGTTGTTGTTCTTTTACATCACCCACACAGGATCTCAGCTCATTGTGCAAGATACTGCACCTCAAATGTCCCAGTGTTCAGTTGTTTTTATTTAATATTCAACCAAACTCAATTATGTCACTCCTCCTTGAAATAAAACCCACAATCTTTTAACCTGTTGTTGTAATTGACAGCATCTCTTCAAACGATTTTACAATTTTCTGCCAATCTTGTGTTATTGTTGGCAACATGAATGTATTATTACAAAATAACACTGAACATGTACGGACATCACAGGGGGACCAAGAGTACCTGTGAAAGTGAGGCAGAGTTAATTACCCTGATCAAGGTTATGGAGTTAAAAATGTTAAAACTTTCATCAACGCCAAACGTCCAGTCCACTTTTGGAAAATGTGAAAACTGTAAAGAATGAGGATAAAATGTGGACGTTCATCAGTGCTTCTGTCAGCTTTACAGTCTTCTTACTGACAAAGACATCAGCGGTTCCTACAGACATTTCTATAGGAAATCCATCCATAGAATTTCCATCCCAATTAAGACCGGCCCGCCAAGGGAGTCTGATATTCCCAGTTTAAAGAATCTGAAGTTATAATGTCTGTCTAAATGAATTACTATATTTATGTATTGTATAAAAATCCAATGATGGGCTTTGTATTGGGAGTTTCCCCCAGTAACTGACTCATAGAGCACAATACTGCAAAACGACTGAGATGGTCTTGTTTAACTCTCGACCACATGGTTTAAATTATGATGGCATTTTTTGAATTTACGTCTGTGTGTGTCTGCCCTTGCACTCTTTAGAAAAGCAGCAGCATTGAGGTCACTCGGTGTTGGTAAACCTCACCCTGATTAGAAGTGTCGACAGAGGGAAGGGACGAGGGACGCGGAGGTCAGTCAGGGACAAACAACAGGGGGCAGCTGATCATTACTCAACAGTGTGTGTGTGTGTGTGTGTGTGTGTGTGTGTGTGTGTGTGTGTGTGTGTGTGTGTGTGTGTTATTAACCGTGTTTGTCTGATAGACTTGAAAGAACATTCTGTGTCGGCGTGAGCTAACACTAAAAGGAGCTCCACGTTCCTGCATGTGTTATGCGTGTTTCCTTAATGTAATGTTAGCCACGCGAGTATGAAAGGTAGCTACATTCTTACTTTTGCATTTGTTTCTGCTTTTAAAATTGGTGTTGTTTTTGTACACCTCTACCTGGGGGGGAAGAAGTGCTAATTAAACATCTTTCACTGTTGTGTAAAAAAAAAAAAAAAGATGAGTCAGCATCTGTAAAAACCTGAACGAACGAACCACTCTGTCGATTTGCTGCTGCACTACTTCCAAAACATTTCATCAAAATTCAACGCTGCGATTTTGTTCACTGTAGAAACAAGAAAAAAGTCTACCTGCTGAGTCACCACCAACAGGTCCCTGCAAGTTACACTTTTTTTTTTTTAAACATCTGCACTGTTTGTCTGGTTTATATCACCCTAAACATCTTTCATACCCAATGGCATCCAGTTTCATAATAGACTCCTCTAACGCTTTTCTTTCTGTAAAAACACCCACGTAAGCAGTTTGCAAGCTTAAAGAGAAAAAGGTCCCAGGATAAGGTCATCTGTCCACAGTCAGTCTTTAACTTCAGCATTTAAACAGCTGTTTCTTGTTCATCTCCCTGTGCGCGCACATTTGCGCATCCGCATGTGTGCACAGTCATGCAGAGTTTAAAAGGTTGTGTAGTGATTATTCTGCTGACTGCTGAGCGGAGAAACTGAAGAGAGCAGGAAGAAGGTCGCGAGGAAGAGCTCAATGTGTGCTCAATGTGTCCTTGAGTATCTTTGATTAGAGGTAAAGGGGCCGAGCACTAGGGAGGGTGTGTAGTCACCCTTGGGCTGCAATTGGTGGAAACTTTCCATGTGGTAGAAGTCATGTGCACTCTGACGAAAACACTGTACCAGGACTAAGCACCAACCTAAATACTTGCCAGGACAATGATTTAAAAAAAAACACACTTGCTGATAGAGCACACGCACATACACATGCCTGATGTGGACATCACACACCGTACCACCACCACCCCTTACCCCCACCCAGTCAGAACAACACATGCCATTTTGTCAGCTGAGAGACCAACCACGCTACTAAAATGTTTCTGCTCATTTGTTCCAGGAAGAATAAAAAAATAAAACCCTGTCACTACTTTCTTAGAAAGAGTTATGTAAATAGATGGTGTTAAATTATATTATAGGACATAGAGTTACTGACTGACTACCAGATGACTAATAGCATTTAATGTTACTGATTGTACTGCACAGGATTACCAGTCATACTACTATCAACTGTTAAGAAATACAAGACATGGTGTACATGCAAAGGCTCCCTTCTTTTAATTTAGGGGTTTTGTAAAGTTGACCACATGGAATAAGACCTTTGCCACCCAAAAATAAATCCAAATTGGTACTGAGAGGAGTGATTGTCTTGTTCTAACAACATCACAAAAGACACAACGATACCAGTAAATGAGATGTGAACATGAAACCAACTGCACTGGAACTGGCCGTTGACAAGACAAGACAAGGCAAGACAAGCTTTATTAGTCCCACACATGGGAAATTTGTTTTGTCACAGCAGAAAGAACTGAACTGAAACAACTGATGAGGGCTCTGGATAGGTTATATATTGAGTTGCCTGTGCAGTTCCCCTCAATTAATCAGCCAGACTGCATGTCTTATCCCTTCGCCTGTTAGCCGTGTGTCTTACCGTGATGGAGGTGAAGGTCAGGCAGATGCCTCCGAAGCCATTCAGAGAAAGAGCCAGGAAGATGAGCGCTGAGAGGACTGCAGAGAAAGCAAGAGAAACATTAAAACTCGCTTTGGTAAACTGGAGGACTTCATTTTACAAGAAGTCAGTTTAAGTTAACATTTCAGGAGACAGCCTTCAAAAACAAGCAAATTACCATGGGCCTTAAAATTTAACCGCAGCGGATATTCACTAAAGCAGTTGGCTTTTAACTTGTGAAGTGGTGTGAAGATGAGGGTATGGTGAAACACATTGATGCACCTGCAACTCCTTCACTTTCTCTGTGGTTTAAATGTAATATTGAGCAACACAGACAGCAGCTTAAATAAACAAGCTGGTACATAAAATGGTTCCAGCCAGTGTGACAGACACTTTCATATAACCCTAAAATTAATCTAAATTTTAATTAGGCTTAAAATTATGTGTTATGAGTGACAGGTAGGAACAATTTTTTTAAATAACTCATTTGTCATGCAAATAGATAGATACCTTATTGATCAGTGATAAAAATCAGTTTGTTTGTTTTTACAGTGATTAAAAAAAATCCAGGTATACAGACTTCTGTAAAGCCTGTGTGCCATTTTGCATCGATTATCTCATCAATATCTTGTCTGTTTTTACTCACCGTCGGTCTTGTAGGCAGAGGTGGCCATCATAATACAGGACAGACCAAAGCATGAGCTGCAACAAAGAGAGAGAAAAATAATGAAACCTTGAGATAGCTAGCTGCTGGTGACATCGTCGGCAGTAATAAAAAGCTACTTTCTGCTGCCATCTTATCCACAAGGGGTCGCCACAGTGGGTAGCTTGGTGACTTGGAGAGATTGTTGATTCGTTCCAGCTAGAGACACAAAACCCCTTTGAAGTTGCGACAGGAACTCAGGCGTAAAATCTGTCATCTGCCAAATCAGCATTTTATCAGTTTCCATCGAGGCTGACACATAAAACTGACAACGGTGTCAGCCACTTATGGAGGTTATGTTGAAGCGTCTACAAAGACTAAGACCAGAAGTCTAAATCAGCTATAAAAAGTCTGGTTTATAAAACAGTTGGTCAATGATTTAACAGCCTGAATGCTTTTTGAATCAGATCCGTTCAAATCCGATAAGTGTCACGCTTGACTTTTAAAAGTCAAGTAAAGTCAAACTGTGGATGAGAAAGGCAGAAACCATGTGTGTTTGTTTACGTAACGTGACTTTTTACCCTTCTGTTTTGAAGATAACCCAACCTCTAACTGGAGTTTTCCAGTGAACATCTAAATGATTCTGAGTAGGCTTTGGAGAAAGAGTGCGGTTGTCAGGTATAACCAAAAATTCAGCCCTCTGGGACCAACTCGATCTGTCGTGTTTGGAGCAAGAAAAATGCTGAATATGACCCACAAAATACCATCCCTACAGATACAGACAAGCAGGAAATGAAAACATGCTAGGGGGTTGTTTTTCTGCTAAGCGTGCAGGACGACTTCATGGGACTGAGAGGCCAATGGATGGGACCCATCCATCCATTCGCTTATCCTTTTCAGGGTCGCGGGGGGCGCTGGAGCCTATCCCAGCTGTCATAGGGCGAGAGGCAGGGTACACCCTGGACAGGTCGCCAGTCTGTCGCAGGGCCAACACACAGGGACAGAAAACCATTCGCGCTCACATTCACTCACACATTCACACCTAGTGGCAATTTGGATTATCCAATTAACCTATCCCCACACCTATCCCTAACCTATCCCATGTACCCTAAAATCACGAGAATCCCCTTTCCCGCAGCCAGAAGACTGAAGGTGGATCACAGATGGGTCTTTAGGCAATGACCAATAACCCCCCAAAAATACAGACAATACAACACAACAAAGGAGCAGCTAGCCAACCCCCAGACCTCTACCCTATAAAAAAAAAGTACCTATGGAGGGAGCTTAAGCTTCGAGTTGCTGAGCAGCCAAGAAACCTCAAGCATTCCTGTAAAGAGGAGTGGGTCATAATCCCTCCTGAGACGTATGCAAATGTGGTTACAAACTACAGGAAACATCTTATGCACAAATGCACTTGCCAAAAAGGGTTTCTCCACCACGTACCAAGTCATGTTTTACTTGAGGATCAAACGTTTATTTCATGCAAGTATAACTTTTATGTAATGTGTTTTTGTTTAATCTTATGTCTCTCGATTAAACTGAAACTACCATAAAAACATGAGACTGTTCTTCTCAAAGTTAAAAATTTAGCAGATCATCAAATAATTATTTCTTCTACTGTATCTCTAAGAGTCTGGCTCTGAAGTCAGTCCAAGCTCTACCTTACAGAACACATCCTGTAATTACATGAACGGTTGTAGACTAACTACACGTGTACTGAGAAAAGGTGCACACATACAAACGAGGACTGCCTACTCAGTAATTTGCAGAAACTGGATCAACTTCTCGCTCCTGCTGTGGGAATGTGATCCATCTACTTTTTGTACTAGAACATAATTACCAGTAAATGAATTGATTGAATATCAAGTTTTCCTTCCTCATCTCCACATGTGCCAAGGAAGATTTTTTTATGATTAAGCCAAACATACAAGGATCATTTATGAGCCACACATACGAATACATTGTCAAATGTTACAATATTACCTTCCAACCAGTCGAATGGGACGTGGTCCAAACTTATCCATCAGGATACCAAGCGGGAGGGTGGTGGCACTAAGCAAGAAGGAACCGATGGTGAAGCCCAGATTTAGCATCTCTTCCTGGTCCACACAGCTGACCCACTCCTCAACCTTCTGGCCAGAGGAGTTACCCAAAGACGTGTGCACTGTGTCATTTTCTGTGGGAACAAGTGTGTAGGCTTGATGAGAGATCGCTCAAGAACTATTTGGGTCTTTCAGGTTTTTTGTGGGCTCTGACTTGACTCCAAAACTAAGCATTATTTTCCCCATTTTCTAAACTTGTCTTAAAGGTGACTTTTCTGCAATTTCCAAAACAAGACAATCTCATGCTTTATAGATTGCAATGACACATTTGAACACAATACATATGTTTCCCGAAAAGTAATTCCAAGTGATGAGGCCTTAAAACCTGCAGTTCCTCAAATGGCCACTGAAGGGACGTTCCTAAAATGAGTCAGTCCTCATGGACTCCAATGTTAAAATGTACTTGAGCATTGTCTCTATGCCTTCATAGGAACTGTTGATGGGGTGAACTGTTAGGATTTAATCAGGGCTTAAAGTTAGAAGCCTCCCAAAACAAAAAACTGTAGCAAGCTTGCGAACACATAATTTGGCTGCTGGTATTTTGGGTACGTCTATCTTCTATTTACAATCTATGCAAATGTCTAATAGATGTGTTATCTCCATATCAAGGTTCAGAGATTCTGATCTTACCTGAGCACAGGTGAGAGTAGAAGCCTTCCCTCTTTAACATGATGAGCAAGGAGCCCCATCCCAGCAGCACAGCCGAACACAGCAGGTTTTCAATCACCGCTGTCACCGCCATCCACCAGCGCCTCCTGTAGGCCTGGACGAGAGTGGGCGCCATCGCTGCTGCTCTGTGATTGAGGAGCAACAAAGAGGGAGGGGGAGGATAAATTGAAATGACTTTAGGCAAACATGGAGGTTATTTTTTTTATTTTTTCTAACAAGTAAAAAAGATAGTTGATGCATCCAATGTAAATGCGAAGGGTTTTCCATTTGTTTAACACCTTTGAAAAACTTCCAGACACACTAAATAAGCTGAACAGATTTTATTAAATAATATTACACACTGATGTGAGTCATTACTGATGCTAAACCACCTCCTCCAAAGGTTTGATTACCCGGTGTCTTAGTTTGAAGTAACAACATTAATTACTTGAAGCCCTTATTTAGTTTTAGCTCAAAAACACTCAGTAATGTTTTCCCAATGTTCCCATATTTATTAAGGACCAGGACATTCTTTAGCGACGTGAATGTTAGGATTTTTGCTAAACCAGTTTGTTGTTTCAGGGAAGAAAAAAAAAGGCACAAACTGTAACCCTAAGTCTGAGTGACTCACACCACTGTCCATGACTTTGGGTTTGTGAAATTATTCCAGTCCGGATTTACTTCGTGTGAACTTAAGCTCTCATTCACATTGACATTTGAAACCTGATGAGTACATCTAATAAGTGTCCATGTGGAGAGTCACTGTTTTGTAAATCCTAGGCCAGACAGCTTCAGATGTTCACCTACTGTGCTGTGAACAAAGCACTTGAGTTTGACTCCCAGAGACACTGCAGAGTGCTGAATTGGTCTGCTTTCCTTATGGAAATTGGGGTGGCACCTTAAAGTGCCGCTGTTTCCATCTAAAAGCAAAGGGGAGTGGGATTAAATGAGTATGGAAACCAAATGGAACTACAGCTTGGCTTTGGTTTTAAGTCACAGGATAATCAGGCTGCTTTTACATAAACACACATGGGCAAAAACACAGCAGCTGTGATGTGACTGACTAAATAAAGTCATCTTAGTCACGGCCACCTGAAAAGTACACACAGACACAGATACACACACACATAGACACACAAAGTACAGGTCACTGGTCACAATGATCTGCAACATGAGCGCCCAACACAGTCATGAATCTGATAACACACATATGAAAAACATCTAAACAAGAAGCCATGATCCAAATATGACCAGCTATTCCATTTGGCAGCCAAACCACAAAAGGGGGCGGAGGGGAACAGCGAGAGAAGAGGCCTACAGTCAAGGCCTCAAATAGGAAATCAGTTTCAGTGCTTCTTAATGGCGGCATCCTTTAAGCATGTGTCATACAGGAGAACCAGAGAGGCCCTAATGGGACACATTTGTCTCCGCTTGTGCTCACAAGCTTGCGTGTGCCTTCACGAGGCGTGTGTGTAATGCGATTATCCACTGCCCGCTGAACCGCCTTTGTGCTGAAAAGAGTGTTTGAAAAGGGGGATTTCGTTGTAACCGACACCCCACGACAAAAACCCCTTCAACACACACTCACTCAACAATGAGGTGACAGCAGAAGACGGTGCTTATTCACGCTGTCGTGTAAATGCCCAATCCACACATTAACCCGTTAATTAAGTCTGAGCGCACAAACAGTAAAGAGGCTAACTTTTAGCCAAACTTCTACAAACACTTGAGTTACAACCATTCATATCATCTTTAAGTTAGGAATTTTGTTGTCGATCCATTACCATTTTCAAACCGATTGTTTTATCCACCCAGCACGCCAGAGAGAACCAAAGTTATTAGATCCACTGTTACAAAGGCCTAAGATGTTCATATTTGAGCTTTTAAAATGTGTCAGAGATCCACCTGCTTACAAAAACGGACTCCAGCTATCAATCAAAGGGCAAAATGATAACCAAATTTTCTATCCATAGTTTATTATCATTTACAACCAAATTTATAAATGATAATAAAAACAGATTCCAGCTATCAATCACAGGGCAAAAATGAAGGAAGGAGTTCATTTCCCCTTTGGATCCTGCATGATGTGTCATATATGCTTTGTATTTTATTTTTAGCCTGGAGGAAAAAACCAAACAAAAAAACCCAACCATTACAGTTATCCCATGTGTCCTTGTATATAAGAGATAACTGTACACAGATAAAAATTTGTTGCTTAGCTGTTGCTACAGTCAACAACTGAACTTCTATTTTGATGATCCTGATAGGGTGTCTGTCGATATGCACACATTACTTCTTTAATCTAGCGTAAATCTAAATCTTGTTAATTTCAGCCAAAGCTGATGTGAAGTAAGGACAGCCTAACCTAGTTAGTATCTCGCTGAGGAAATCTGTCGTTTAATTAACCTCAATGTGCACTTTTTAAAAAATCTTTTAGCGTATATCATTAACTTCAAAGGTCAAATGAGTACAAGGAGTTGAACATACAAGTTTTCATTGTTGCGCTTATGACTTTCCTACTTTCAGCTGCTTCCTTGTCAGAACAGGTCACCACAGCAGGTAGCAAATGTAACTCTGCCAAGTCAAACATGATTGATTTGGCTAATCTTTACACCTGCTGCCCTTCATGACACGGCCCCCGAAGGGATTTGTGTCTCTGGCTAGAATTGAGCCAGAAAAAAAATTAACACTTTTGACAGTGTTATATGTTTAAAAGTAACCTAGTCAGTTTTGAAGATTAACAATGGCTAACACTGAGCAGTGCTGGTTTTCTAACACTGGAAAATAACTCAAAATGTTAGAAATATTTTGCTGTGTGGTGTCATCTGCTTCGCTTTCACACAAACTGATGCAGGGCACGGATCCATTCGGACTAACTACTACTTATCACACATCCCTCGTCACCGTTTTTCTGCCCATTTCCAGGTGCCTGTTACTACTGCAGTAAACTGCACGCTGTCAATAAAGGGAACAGGAGTGCTACTGTGTTACCGTGCAGGAAGGTCAACACATGACAGACATGTGGCAACAACTTAAAACATGAAAGCCCGGCTTTTTGTGTTGTTGGCAGGCAGTTGTGAGTCCCTGTCACAACACTGTGAAGTGTGTGCTTGTAAAGTTAGAGCAGGTGAAGCTTGCTTTGGGATAAATCCCACAAAAGGAGGGTGTTTCCTGAAATACCGGAGCAGTAGCAGCTGAATGATGCAATAACTCCAAGACTTACTCTACTCCTCTTTGCCACTGGCAGCCTGGATAAGCGGATGGGGTTTTAATGGGTTTTGAATTATTGAACAGGGCCTTCCTTCTCAATCAACAACTGAGTGAACATATAGGCTCAATTATCCCTATCATGCTTACTTTCAAGTCTCCCTGTTGCTGCTTACTTCCAGCCATGCTCTTTTTTTCCCTGCTGGGGATATAGATGACCTTGACCAGACGTGTTTATCAAACTCTGCGGGACTAAAAGAACCGCAGGAAAAATGTTTCCAAATAAAATAAACCACAAAGCCCTGGGCCTCTCTGTTCCCCAAAGAGTCCAAAAGTTGCCCGGCCAGCGAGCAGCTGTCTCTCCATGGGTGTGACAGTCAGCCTCCGCTTACCAGGCAGGGCAGAAGAGGAGACGCGTTCATGTGCTGCTCCAAATGTCAAAATCTGGAGTTCTCCCCTGGCCTCCAGATCCCATCAAAGCGTGACACAATTAAGAAATAAATGAAGAAGGCAAACGAGCAATAAATACATAAAATATAGGCATACTGGCTGGATAAAGGGAAACAAATATATAATTAGGCTGTTTAAAGATCAAGATTATTTTTAATCTGCTTTTCAAGGGTTTTGTGACCATTAATCACCCAAAAACATCCACTGATTATGAACGCCGGCGCCCCAGTTCTGAGAGAAATGGGGAGCTCTGCTCTATCTGATGCTTTAGACTGGGTGTTAGAGGCTACACCCAGTGACTTGGGGACATGCTGCATTTAAAATCCACACATATTAAACATACAGTTGCTTCAGCCATCGTTCTCCCCCATTTTTTTTATATTCTTTAATTTAAGGGGTTGTCATTTTATTTTGTTTTATTTGATACCTCATCAATGAAACCAACCAACTTTTGGTTTTTCAAGATGCAAACAAGATTTTCATCATGTCATCCCAGCAAGTTTTCACTGACTGACATAAACCAACTTAATAACTCAGTACAGGCATGTATGGATACATTAAATGCACAACAAATTCATCAGACTACTACCCAATGTAAAGTTTCTTCCAGGTGTTACATATGGTTAAAATGATTCAAATGCAGTAAGTATACATGTTTCATATAAATATCGTCTATAGCTTAATTATTTTCTTTAGCCCACATAATTAAACATTTCAGTTACATAAAACGTGATTTTGATTTGATGTACTGTAAAGCACGTGGCACAAGGCAATACAGTCTCTGGCACAATCATAAGCATTGGTTGCTACTGAAAACAAGAAAAGTTTTGTGTGTTAATGGTGGGGGAGGGGTACACTATGCAATATATTCAGTTTTAGAATTTATATTTAGTGTTAACTGTAGCTAGGTTATCTGTAGCTAGGCTCAAAGTGTTAATGCAATCTTATTTTAATATGCAATACTGTCATATGCAAAACCAGGGTGGCATTAGGGGTCTCTATGCCAGCACATTCCACCACATGCCACCGCTCTAGATCCGCCCCTGTTATGCTGTAATTGGGCTATAATAAAACAAACGCCTAACTTAAGACATTTGTGCGCATTTATGGCTTTCCAGGGGTTTTATAAATATTATAAATGAGTCATAACAGGCAGGACTCCGATGCTCCGTGAAATGAAGGCTCAGGTTTCACTGAGCGTATTGTACACATTTTAATCGTCACTTCCGAAACTTTCTCAACATCTGCCGCTCGCGCCGATTCTCACATTTTTATCCTCCCTTTGTGAGCGCCCGTACTTTGCGCCATTTCTCCCCTCACCAGGCCACGGACGCACAAACACACGTGGACACACACACATATATTGTGAGTTTAATACGCAGCGTTTGGTCTGTATCGTGAAAGCTGACACTGTCCATCTCATGCCACGTGTATCAGAGGTCGATTGTTCCTCCTGCTGTTTCAAGCCGCCGCTTACTTCTTTTCTTTTATTTATTTTTTTTAACATATAACACTAAACTCGTGAACACAACAGCGGCAAAACGTGGAAATGTAAGTAAACATCATATACTTACTTCAGTTGTGTGTCCTCTCACAGGGGCTCGAAATAAAGGTTCCTTATTGAATAACAAACTAAGAATTTAAGCTCAACTTTAACTAATTGTTGTCCTAATAGCAAAGTTGAGCCCGAGTCCCCTAAATAAAACTTTTCCCCCTCCCTCTGTCCTCTCCCTTTCTTCCTGGTTGAAGACTGATGTTCATTGCCTGTAAGTCCACGTTTTTTCTCCCTTTCTCTCTTCGGTTACACCACACACTTCCCCCTTCAATTTGACTTCTCCCTCCCATCTAGTTTACCGCCTGTTGAGGGGAGGAGAAAAGTCACTACGCCACACACATTCATGCTGGTCTTTCCTTCCATGCAAATGTCCTCCAGCATGGCGCATGGAAGTTTTAAAGAGCCCTTGACCTCGTAGGACCTGGGGTCCACATATGTGGACATCACATTTTGAGTTGTCCAGACCAAAATACTAAATTTTGCTCTTCAGGGGCCTGATATCCACTTACAAGGAATTTATACTACCACTGTGAATTTCCTCATATGTGGATTGCATTTTTCTCAGAAACAAAAATCAGGTAATTCTTTTTCTTCTCTTTCTTTTTACAGTCATCAGGTCCCAATCAGGCCAAACAGCAAAGAGAAATTAAAAATGCATGCCATGAAAGAGTCCGGGTCTTGGGAGGTTAAAGGAAAGTCACTGCAATACGGGATCACATAGAATAACTGATTCAGCACATATGTGGTTAATGTTTCATACCAAGCTGAAAATACATTTAATACGACAACAGTTTATCAGCTCAAACATCAAACGACATGAGTGCTTTAAAAGCATCTCTGACAGCATGGTGGGAGTTCCTAAAAATGACGGAGTCTTCATTAATCCCATGCAAACGTACACCTATCTGGAACAACCCTGACATATTACAAAACAATAATATGATTAACTTCCCAGATTGGAGTGGAATCAAATACTTGGAACATATATTAGAAGGAACAGACTTCATTCCGTTTGACAGAATAGTTGTATTCAGGCCCATCCTGGTCCGGATGGGCCTGGGCCTCCTGGTCTTGGTGGATTCCAGAGAGTATTGGTGCCTACTGGGGTCAGCGGGGGAGCTGGCCCTTCCTTCCCTCCCCATCCCCAGCTGCCTCCCTCTTCCCGCTACACTAACATTCAATATTTAGTATTTACTGTTATTTATACTTAGCTAGATTATTGCGATGGCGTTGTTTGTTATGTTGCTCTTTTTTTTGCTTGTTTTCTTCTCTCAATAGGTGATCCAGATGAATCAAATGGACCACTTAGTAAAGTTAATCCAGTGGGTATTTTTCTTGGCCTTCAGACAATATTTCTGATGACTAAAGAACCAAATGGGACAGGCAAGAAAAAAAAAGACAACCAAAAGAAAACAAACAAAAGAAAATTAATTTGGCAATGCATTCTTCTGAAGGACTTCACCACATAATGTGGAGATGTCTCACATTTAAGGTAATTTAACAGAGAAAGTCATAACTATTAACAGATTGAAAGAGTGTTTCCGAAGGTTGTTGTAACAACCCAACTCTTTTGGTGTCTGAAACTGTGACATGTAGGTTGTTCTTTTACAGTTTTGTTTATAAATTGCAAACATTTCCCCAGATACATCATGTCTGAAGACAAAGAAGACAAAAATGAAAACTAACAAAGTCTGACAGAGTCAAATCTGAAAGCTTAAAAATATACCTCAAACATGCACTATGAAACATATCTGAATCTTTTTTGTTCACTGTCATGTCTTTTATTTATAGTCGGTGTCATATTTAAACAATAGAACTCGCCCCACAGTGCTTTAGAGTCGGGGACACTTAAATTCCAGGTCTCCAAGAAGCTCAGTTTCAAAATACATGATTTGCTAAAAGGTTTCTTTTATTATGTTAACAAATTATTGTAAAAATGAAAATCACAGGGATTTAGTTTTCAAACTGATGATGATTCATCATATAAATTATTACACACTGCTCTCCCCTGCTGCCTTTATAAAGTAAACATGTCAGTGCTGGTAATGGTATCTGCAATACTGGCCCTGTATTTACTTGGTATTGAAACAATAGAAAATCATGTCCTCAAGAAATAGGAAAAAATCGAGCAAAGACCTGACACAGGACCTGAGAGAGTCATCTGGTCCTTTAGTTGATTCATTTACTATTTGCTGAAGTCTCATCAGAAATGATCTCAGTGTAAGGGTGGATGTCGAGAGGCTATTCTTAAGGAACTGAAACAGGAAAAAAGGTATGTGGAATACCAAGAACTGGACTGATAATCACTGTCAACATGGAGTGATGAATTCAAATTTGACATTTTTGGTTCAAAATGTCATCAGTATGTATCGAGGAGGTCAGCAGAGAGGTACAGCAGTGAGTGTCCACTGTACATCCATCCGTGAAGCTTGGTGGAGGCTCTGTCATGGTTTTGGTCTTTTCAAAAACAAAAAGGTACTGTCAGCTTTGAGCCACCATGGCATACCATCTGAAAAGCATCTGTTTGGTATCACTCTTGTCAGCAATGATCCCAAACACACTGCGAATGAGGAAGTTTCAGAGGGCTGGCCAATCAGAAGCACGCTAGCTTAACGGTAGAGGAACTACACAGCCGCACACAGCTGTATTTGGCACATTATGCCGTGGCTACTATAGTTGAGGCCAAGAATTAAAACAGGGAGCTAATTTATATAGCGCCATATCACAACAGCAGTTGCTTCAAGGGCCTTTATTTTGGAAGGTAAAGACCCTACAATAATTAATTATAAATTAACCACCAGCAATAAATATAACGTGAAACTAATATTCTTCAAACAGGAGTTAAGATAAGATAAGATAAGATAGAACTTTATTAATCCCTCGGGTGGGTTCCTCTGGGAAATTCGTTCCAAAAAAGCACAGACACCGACAGACAGTTACAGAAGTTAATGATATATATATGTATATACAACCACACACACATATAAAACAGAACAATTAAATATACAAGGGATAAAAGCAAAATGGTGGTGGCTAACCAACCGGACATAGTGGTGGTAGACAAACAGAAGAAGACGGCCGTAGTGATCGATGTAGCGGTTCCGAATGACAGCAATATCAGGAAGAAGGAACACGAGAAGCTGGAGAAATACCAAGGGCTCAGAGAAGAGCTCGAGAGGATGTGGAGGGTGAAGGTAACGGTGGTCCCCGTGGTAATCGGAGCACTAGGTGCGGTGACTCCCAAGCTAGGCGAGTGGCTCCAGCAGATCCCGGGAATAACATCGGAGATCTCTGTCCAGAAGAGCGCAGTCCTGGGAACAGCTAAGATACTGCGCAGGACCCTCAAGCTCCCAGGCCTCTGGTAGAGGACCCGAGCTTGAAGGATAAACCGCCCGCAGGGGCGTGCTGGGTGTTTTTTTTTTTTTATATACTAATATATATTATTACATACACACACACACATATATAAATACAGAGACAAATATAAATAAAATATACAGAAGGGGATAAATAGAATAAATAGGAATAAAAAATAAAAATACAAGTGAATTGCACATTTCAAGTATTGAGGTCTATTGCACTGTTGACTATTTACAAAAGTATTGCACAAGGTATTGACAGTGAGGTGAAGAGGCACTACAGCTTAGTTGTTCCCCCCTCCTTTGTCCTCCTGTTTCCCCTCCCTCTCCCCTCCAGAGAGGAGTTAAACAGTTGATGGCGTGTGGGACAAAGGAGTTTTTAAGTCTGTTAGTTCTTGTCTTGTGGGAGAAGCAACCTGTCACTGAACAGACTCTTCTGGTTGTTATATGGCCGTGTGCAGAGGATGCCCAGCATTGTTCATAATGTCCAGCAGTTTCTTTAATGTCCTTTTCTCTGCCACTGTCACCAGAGTGTCCAGCTTCATGCCGACCACAGATACTTGCATAGAAGAAAGTCATTTTGGACACACAGATCAGATCAACCCTCCTGTATATAGAAAACCAAGCATTATTAATATCTTGCAGTGAGCCAAAATCTGGTAATTCCCTATTAATTCTGGCTCTAGCACAAAAGCATTAGTTCTGCTTAGTCATGAGTCTGACAGGGCTCACGTCGCAAAGCAAATCTGCACCCCGCAGGGCTCCACAGGGAACTGTCCAGTTTTCCATTTCAGATATATAGCAAGTGTAGTCTGATTAGTCACAGCTTTACAGCCAATTGCAAAACATTTGTTCCAACTGCAGGTGTAAATCTAAGAACTCTGCCCCTCCAGTTTCTTAATAAAATAATCCCATTGGAATTTGAGTGAGCTCTCTCCAGCTGTGGACACCCGGAAATGTCACCTTTAACCCCACCTGCAAAGTCCAGGGCCTGTGTGAACAAGATAAAAGTGAGGTCGGACTGTGCTTCACAGCAGGGAAGTCTATATGTTGCTGAGGGATTAGACATAAAGTGGAAACAACGCAGAAAATGTGCAGTTTTCGACACTGAAACAGATTAAAAACTAAATCTAAATATTTTGAATACAATAAAGTAAAACAAGGAAACCCACTATGGAAACTTTCTGAAACTAAGCCAAAATTTACCTAATTAGAAAACATAAAACTATAATAACTATAATAAAACTGGAAAGTTTTTTAATGAAGCAAATTTTACCACGTTGCAGTCTGGAGAATCCTGATAGAGGACTCCACCTGCTGGACGTCCCGCAATCGTGGCAAACGATGTCATTTTTAAAAGAGAGAGAGAGAAAAGAAAAAAGGAAGTTGAAGTACCTGGAGGACTACATCAATCCAAACACACCTTTATTTTTATAGCAATCACCATGCTCAACAAACTAATGTGCAAGGTCAGTTTCGCTGTGGGTGTGGGGCCTGCCTCCCTGATGAAGGTGGCAGAAAGAAGGTTGTTGTCCGAGTTACAGATTGTTTTGCAAGATAGTAGTGAGACCTGCTTTGATGTTTAGTTTAGAGACAGCAGCACTGAAAAAAGACATGAGACTGAGCTGAAGATAATAAGATTTTCATTGGGACTGACCCAGATGGACAAGTTTAGAAATGAGAAATGAGGAGGGACGGCTAAGGATATAAAGTTATAGAGACAAGGCTGAGATGGCTCGGGCATGTGCAGAGGAGATTTTTCAAATGGAGCAGCCAGGAAGGAGGAAAAAAAGGAAGACCTCAGCATATTTAGCAAAAAAACAAACAAAAAAAACCCCCATAATATTATTGCAGTATTTATTGTAATATGTTTCAGTTTATATTTTTCTACATTTCATATTCGCACTGAGCA